AGAGAGAGAGAGTATCCCAGGCATGATCCCTGCTAGGCGCTGAGCCTGGCACGGGACTCGATCTCATGACCCTGGGATGATGACCTGAGCCAAAATCAAGGGTCAGACGCTCAACCAACTGAGAAATCCGGGTGCCCTGTAATTCAGTCTTTTGACCCTGTAAATTTCAAGAGGCAAATTCATCAAGAAAATATGAGAGCAGGGACATTTTCACTTTGTCAAAAAAGAATGTAATTCATTCCCCCCCTTTCTTCTAAATATTATTTTTCATAGTTTACTTAGTCCTTGCTTATATGCAAAAATATTCTTCTGACATTTCTTCTAATCAAATCTGTCTTTTGAGGGGCAACACGAACCCAGTCTTCTGTTAGAAATCCAAGAGAGAGCTTGTCCATAGGTACCTCTGTCTACTTCGTGATTGGTAGTTGGTTGCCTCTAATAAGTATTTGGCATTTGACCACAGCTGTCTTTGCCAGCCCGATTGTCAAAGAAAGAGAGAAGGCCTGTGGCTTCCTAGTATAATGATGAGAGAAGAAACTTATGTTGATGAGGATGATGATGAGGAGGAGGAGGAGGAGGAGAAGGAGGAGGATAGCTGTATTATGGGTACACATTTAATTAGCATTGATTCATCAATCCTCACCCCTGATAAGAAGTATATACTATTAGTATTATCTCCATTTTACAGATGAGAAAACTGAGTCTCAGAGTTGTAAAGGAAGTTAACCTGTTCATACAATTTGCAGGTAGCACAGCCAGGATTCAAACAAATTTGGCCGCAGTTCATGCTCTTAATCCCTTTGCTATATGCATTGAAATTAAAATGTGCTGACAGTTGGAAGCAATTTGTAAAAGTTCCTGATCGATTTAATGGATTCATCTATTTGTCTCTGACAGGGAAGAGGCTCTTTTTTTTTTTTTTTTTAAGTTTATTTTGAGAGAGGGTAGGAGAGAGTAAGCAGGGGAGGGGCGGGGCAGAGAGAAGGGGAAAGAGAATATCCCAAGCAAGCTCCGCACTAATGGTGGGGCTCAAACTCACTAACCATTGAGATCTCGACCTGAGCCGAAACCAAGAGTCAGATGCTTAACTGACTGAGCCTGAGCCACCCAGGCACCCCAGAAACTGGCTCTTTAACTTAACTGGGTAAGTTCTGAAAAGTGATGATTATTTCCAGACTTCAGTGATTTTGTAGCTGGAAGAAATCTTACAGATCACATGCCTCTAACTTCTTGTTTGAAGGGTGAAGAAAATAAGATTCAGAGAGAGCCTCAATGAGCAGGCATGCCCAGTGACCAGGCATGCCCAGTGACCAGGCATGCCCAG